AACAAAATTTGGTCCCGAGTAAAGTTTAAGAGATGCCCCACAAATTGTGTAAAGGACATGTTAAGAAAACATTTGGTACGTCCATACGAGTATGTTAAACATGTGCCAAATTTCAAGTCTCATGGCCGCCGCTGAAGGCCCTGTGGCCGAATTTTCAAGCTTTGCAAATTTAGAAGAAAAGAAAAGGAAATCGAACCTTTTGATGTCATTTCCGAAAACAGTTAACCAAATAGGTTCTTTTGGTCAAATAAGAAAAAATTAGTTATTTCGCTTCTGTCGGCCGATTCTCGATATTTTCGGATTTACGCTCATAAATATTCCCCACTGGTAGTTTTAGCTGGGATATATTCAGTTACGTGACGCGTTTTATTTGATAGATTATAACTAGAAATATTCATGGTTTCTTTGGCTTAGCCCTGTGTTTTTCTCGCTATTTTCCTGAACAAATGCGTAGTTCTTTGCCAGTAACAATCCAGTTCAGCATATTCCCACGTCAAAAATATATTCCGTACTAGACAAAATACTATCACTTAAGTTAAACACACCCATTGACCAATGAGAGAGCGCATAGTATCTCATGTACTTTATGAATCTTCCTCACAGCAGATTAGATACTTAAGTAGCGTAGCCAATCAGAGAACCGCATTGGGAATATACGCTAATAGATTTATACTGCATAACAAGAAGATCTTTCAGATCTTATAACCGCGCTTTTATATTTAACTGTCTTAGCAATACAGTCAAATTTGGCCAAATTTTGAATCACGCAACCTGTGATGTTTATTCACCAAAAGCTGTTGAAACATTAATGCAAGGACAGTATTACGTATATTGTTTTCTTTATTCGTGTGTAAAATATTTTTTCTTTTGGTTTTATCGAAACGTTGGATTCGAAGAGAAATAATAAATACGCTAAAAACGCTTAAAAAAGGTATTACGTCAGCCATAGAATGCGCTGACGTTGCAGCTTTCATTTTCGCTACGTGACAAATAAGATCCTGTTTACTTTGCAAGTTTATTTCGCCAGAAGCGACGGTCATTAATTTATTTGCAATTTTGCGAGTATTTC